TGTTCACATGGTTCACTACCGATTGCCACTGCGCGAGGAGGAGCTGCCATGAGAGCTGTGCCTCTTTATCGATGTGGAGTCGCTGCATATTCTCTGAACTGTGCAGCAGAGCGTATGTGAAGGAGGACCACGCCACGCCCGACACACACGGTCCACTCACAAATGTCTGCACCCCCTTCGCTGCACATGAGATTCCTAATGCCTTCTGTTCATCTCCGTCGCGATGAGACGGGGCGAGATCGTCCTCCTTTCGTCCGTGCCGCTTCTGTGGTTCAGGAGGTGAAGCTTCCACAAAAGTCATTCCTTCTCCCAGAGGTCTATAGGTAGATGGAAGGAGCCGTTCACACACGTTGTTGTGCTGCTGTTTCATCCACTGTTCGGTCTCTAGGAATCCTGCCACTGCCGCTACTTCCTCGCGTGCGGTGACAAGTAGGGCAATCCGTCCTAGACGCTCTTCTACGATGACAGCGTGTCGGCGGACCGCCTCCTCCGCAACGCATCGAAGCAGCCACAAACGCCTCTTGTCATGCTGTGCCTGCGCCGCTATCTGCCTAGCCGTCCAGCGGTCAAAGTCCAGGTTGCACCCGCCGTCGTCCACACCACGCGTAGCGGTGCATGGCAACGTTGGCGGTGATGTGATGGGCTGACGTGCGCGGCTGCGGCTGCTGCTGCAGCTCCGGATGTTTCCATCAGGAGTTTCATAATAATCGTGCGGCGCGTTGCGCCGTGGCATCACCTGTGGCTCCTGCCAGTGCGAGTAGGCTTCCTCATCAGAAGGCGTCGAACCCCTCACCTTCATCTTGCTGTTGTTATTGTTATTGTTGCTGCTGTCATGACCCTCGGTGTGTGACGAGTGGCGTGGCCGGTGGATACGGTGTGCTGCCGGCGGGAACAGCAGAGCTGTCACCGCCGCCTTCCCCTCGCACCAAGCAATAGCCGCGTCAACGTCTCCGAGAAGCCGCAGCGCGTCCGACGCCGACGGCGCGGCGCAATTATGATGACAACGGCAGCCGTGGTGTTGACCGCCTGCTTCCGTTCCCCACTGCGGCGCCGCCTCCATCACGGGCGCGGCCGCCAGAGCAGCATCCAAACCGGACCCCCGCCGCCGCTCCAACGCCAGCAGCGGGCTCGCGTCCACCAGCGCGTGATATACCCTAATNCCCCCGCCGCCGCTCCAACGCCAGCAGCGGGCTCGCGTCCACCAGCGCGTGATATACCCTAATTACGCTCTCTACAAGGAGCGCCTGGTCCTCGGCAAGCGACTGCACGACGCCGTCCTCTAGCGACGCCAGACGCCGCGCCCGTGGGGAGCGTTGAGGCAACTTTGACACTCCCGTCGCCCCGTCAGTCCGCCTCATTGCCATCGTGTGCGTTTGCGTGTATCAGAGGAACCAGCGTCGAGACCAGTGATGTGGTGCTGTCGTCTATTCGCTATCACGACTATTAGTAGTAGTGGTAGTAGTAGTACATATATATATATATATATATAGATACGTTTGTGCAATGCAGTGTGGCAGGAGCAACAAGAAACGAGAACAACGGCGAAGCATGTAACAAAAAGGCACACGCAGTGGGCAATAGACATCGCTGTGCAGAGCTGCCCATTTATTTCCGCATGGAAGCACAAAGCTTTGAGTTTTTGTTTCCAGTTTCCAGACACAACATCTATCACGTACAGAAGAAACACAACAACAACAAAAAAGACAGAATATGTTCTTCGATGGTTTCCGCTTGATCTTAAGGAGGTAAAACAAAACCAAAAAAAAAAAGGACAAACGGACAAATTGAAGAACATATTAATCCATACACGGCTCCCCCTTTATCTCAACAACAGGAGCAGCGTCGGAACCAACCGAATAAACACATCATGATACATAGAAAAAAACGTTCACCCCTGTCGTATCACGTGCCACTTGCACGAGGGGGGCACAACACTTCCGGGCCTCAACCCGCAAGGGCCACGAACCCGCAGCGAGTCGGGCCCTGTGAGGGTGGCCGGGGTGGCGAAATCAAAAACAAAACAACAACAACAACAAAGAAAGAAACTCCATCACCACCCCCCACAAAGGTACAAATACTTTCCATCCATACATCCCACAATGAGAACAAAGGAGAAATATCACCATGAACAAAGCCCTCACCGTACACGTTCTTGTATTTACACTTTCCCTGAGGGAAATAAATATCGTACAGGCATATATATTATGTATATATATATATATATATATATATATATATATTTGGGAA